TCTTTATTGCATTAATTTTCCTGATCCTGTTCCCAAGAGCAATTATTTCAAAGTGTTTGTTAAATCTATGAAACTGACGAGCAGGTTTTACATTCCCTTCCTATAAGTTTGATGGTGTCAACAAAAGAGTTAACACAGTTTTGCTCCCCCACCTCTTCAAGGTATTTTCACTATAACTGTAAGACCTATAGAGACTGACCAGTGTACTGCCCTAACCTGATGATATTCTTCAGGAACCACACGAGACGTTCAACAAAGTACTGTGATGAGTAACAAGTTTTGTAAACAGCTTTGAAAAAACCCTCAGGATTTTTTCTAAATAGCTCCAAATATATTATGAAATATCAGCTCTCTTCAACTTAAAGGCATCAATTAAATTACTCAGTCTACCACCCTTCCTCCTGGGCAGGTGGAAAAAGAGCCTCCAGGTCTAGCCATAAGTATAGAAAGTTGCTGACAACAAGAGAACACGAGGGAAAAGTGGAGTCTTGAAGAGCTTAATCTTTCCCTTCCTGCACACACATGGCTGGTAAATTTACCGTTTGCAGCCCACACTAAGATTAGTTTTTCCTTTTAAATAATGGTCAACTCACTGTTAATTCTTGTAGCAATAACAGCAGAAGAGAGCCAGCCCTTGGCAGCCACTGTTACCTGTAACCACATGTTCTTAGTCCAGTTCTGCTTCCTTCTGATCCTCCAGAACCGTGGGCTCGATGAATTGCTGGAATGGGTTTGAGGGAAGATGCTCTTCCTTCCCTATCCTCTCCCTTTCTTCTCCATTTAACTCACATAATGAGCACACCAGAGAAACAAAGAGAGGGGCAAACAAAACCTGGTGAGAAGAGCAAAGAACTTTTCCTTTAAAGTGATGGAACACGAGAGTCCCTCAGTAGAGAAGAATGGGGCTGGTCTATGTGGCATATTATGTCCAATTACATTTTCAGCATTCAATTCAGTGCTTAGCTCAAATCAGCACAGCCTTGCATTCCAAGGTGAACTCCCCTTGGAAAAGGTTCCTGCCCTGCAGATGAAGTCAGAAAGGGCAAAGAAACACCACTTACCACACCCACGTGCTGTGAAACCCCTATGACTACTCCTTATTTCTTCTCACCTCACAGTCAGCAGGAGCTGTCACTCCTACTTGTTCACACAATCCCTTTCACTGACTTTGTCACTGCAAATAATGAGGGCAAACTTATTATCACTGACCTTGAATACTGCAGCAGCAAAATTAAATTTTGTCCACTCCGTTTGGAAATTTTGAAGCAGCTCTGCCAGAAACAAAGCACATGGAAACCATATCGACATTTCTTTCCAACTTGAAGGATCCATGTAATTTTAGGAAAAATTTAAGTAAACATTGTATTAAAAAAAAACAAACCCCATCACTTCTGTGTGCCCAACTTTCATCCTGTTATACTTTCAAAGGGACTGTTATATCCGCAACAATTTTACTGTGAAACCAATTTAAAAATGTTTAAACAATACACTTAGTATATTTCTAGAGCATGATGTCTGGCCTCTAGCTGCTGACCAAGAAATATCCTGTAAAGGAAGCAGCTAATCACTGTCTCCTTGGAAAATGTTTACAAAGGGGGTTTGGGGTGATGTTATCTGCATCCTGTTTAAATAGCTATTTTGTTCTCTTAAATCAGATGGTGAACCAAAAAGAGGCATTCTTAGTAGTATTGTTATGCTTTTCCTTTCTGTATCTTGAGTTTCTGGACAGTAATTTCAAGGGTAGCAGCTCTTTTTCACCTTATCTATCCATACTTTATACACCTGTGTTTTAAGAAATAAGGTGGTTTTTGTTATTCTTATCAAATCATTAAGTAAAGTGTATGTACATGTAAGAAACCCAACAAAATCTGACCAAATATGCTTATTCTGAAAGATCATAAAGGAAAGAAAGCTACTTTGCTATGGGGTACAGGAGGGAAACAAAAATTATGATGACAATGCTGTTGGACTCAGTTATAGTAAATAAAAAATTTTGTCTTTCTGATCCAGAATTAAATGTGATTTTATTGATTCAGAATACAGATTTCAGTTTGCAATATCATGACCTTTCACTGCATATTGCCCCACTCTGTGCTGCTCTTGAAATTCATGAAATGAATTTGACAGATGATCCTTACAGGCAGATGATCAATGTGCAATATCATGACCTTTCACTGCATATTGCCCCACTCTGTGCTGCTCATTTCATTCATGAAATGAATTTGATCCTTACAGGCAGATGATCAATATTTACTGTAATTCAGCATTCTCCTAAATAGCAAAATATCAAAATCTTGAATCAATAGAAAGGCTGGGGAACTGAGCCTAACAGCCACACAAATCAGCGTGAATCTGCTCAGAAGAATGCCACCAGTTGGTAACATTTCCTAACTCACCAGACCTCTTGATGTTTTTATCTATTATTAAGATACATCTTCATTGCTTTCTCTTAATTTTACTAGAATAATTCATTTTCGTATACTTTTGTTTAAAATTTTCTTGATTAAAAGCAACAACAAAATCTAAGTTTCAACTATACATAGCTGATAGTGCAAGACTGTTACCTAATGATAAACTTAAACATAGTTCTGAAAGTAAATTTTAGACTCCCTGCTGACTTTTAAGTCTGTGAGGGAGTCCAGAGTGCACACAGAAGGAACATCTAAGTTATTAAAAGTTAGAAATATCTAAATTTGACTGTTTTAGCTCACTTCATGTTGTAAGATTTATCTGAACAGAAGAAAAAGGGAAGAGGAATTTGGCCATTTTGAGGGGATTTGTCTCTGCCCAGAATCCAAATCAGACTACTGATGAAACTGAAGCACTATATGCACTCCCTGATGCATTTATTCATCTATCAGTCTCAAAATTCCTGGACTGAATGAGAAAAGCTCTAATCTGGATTGCAAAACCATGTGCTCATGCGCATTCCTGGAATATATGAACACCTTCACAAGCACATATGCAATTCTTTCCAGAGTGTATTACCAAAAAATTGGATAAATATTTATGAACACAACTGCATATTAAAAAAAAGACTTTATTACTCCTTGTTGTGAAGAACGGTGAGAGGGTTTTTTTTCCCTATTTAAAAAGGGGGAGCAGATGCACAAGGGAAGGGCCACAGAAGACGTAGTACTCAAAATGAGACTATGAGGATTTTTTTTTACAAAAACTAATTAGCATTAACGTAGTCCTTTGCATGATTGAAGAACATGTTTTTTATTTAATTTTCACTACTGAATGCTTAGATTTCTGTGATTTCTACAGTTCTGCAGTTTCTGCAGGTAAAAGAATGACGAGTCAGCACCTGAGGAATACAGCAAATAAATGTGTAGAAAGCTCTTTTTGGAATCATCACTTAAGGGGCAAGGAACTCTCTAGAGCCCATAGAAGATGCACAAGCAATTTCCAATTATCTCAGTCATCCGAGATTTTACTTCTCTAATCCTCATTCCCTAGTGACTACAAGCAATCTAACTTCTGTAACCAAAGCAGTTGAAAACTGCAACTCCCACCATTATGTCTCTTTGTTTACCTCCACTACATATCCATACTATGATTTAAATGGAAGCAGAGATGCTATGGAAGAAATGATGCCTTGTTTTATTGTTAAAGACAACACTGACACCCATTCACGTGAGATATGAATTTTGAAGTTCACAAGTCTTCAAGGGACCTCTCTACATGGTTACATTGTCATAATTGCAGTGACTTAAAGACACAGTCAAGACAAGGTTTTTAGGGATAGATAATGCCTTTTATTAGACCAGGTAGTATAATATAGGAAAAAGCACACAGATTTCCAGATGTTGCTGTTTTCTACGTTCAGTAAATTTTAGCTTTCAACATCACCTCCTGTAATACTACTGCATTCAGTTTGGGGGTTCTGGATAGATGGGGCAACAAGATACACACGCAGTAAAAAGCATTTTGAATGGTCAGGCTCAGGGAGTAGGAGTTTTACTGTAGCTGGAAACCAGCAGCGAGCAGTGCTGGGGGAGCTGCTGCAGTGCTCTCTCCTCCACTTGATACAGGCAGCATCGAATTGGGATGACAATTCAGTCCACCTGAGGCCAGGGCTGCCATCCAGAGAGACCTGGGCAGGCTGGAGGAGTGGACTGACCAAGGACAAAGGCACAGTCCTGCACCTAGGAAGGGAGAGACCCTTGCACCAATACAGGCTGGTCCTGGCAAGTGGGGAAGCAGCACTGCTGGGAAGGAGGTGAAGGCTTTGCCAAGCACAGGCTGCACAAGAGGCAGCAGAGTGCCCTGACAGCAGAGAGGGCCAGCAGCAGCCCAGGCTGTACTCACAGAGCCAGCAGAGAGGGAGAAGTGATTCACCACCACAGATCCAGTTCTGGGCATCCCAGCACAAGAAGGACATTGACAAACTGGATTGCCTTCACCAGAGAGCCACTGGGATTGCTGGAGGCCAGAGCACTTGTCCTGAGAGGACATGCTAAAGGAACTGGGCCTTTTCAGCTTGGAAAAGAGATGGCCTCAAGGGAGATGCAAGAGCAGATTGACTACTTCTGAGAAGGATATTGAGAGGGAGCTAGGTTTTCACAGCAGTGCTCAGCAGGAGTATGAGAGACAACAAATAAATCAAAACAAGCTTAGACTGTCATTAGATGTAGAGATGTTTTCATTTTCCAGATTTTTGTAACCATGAGGTCAGTCAAATGTTTTAACAGGCTGATCAGACAAGTTGTGCATTCTTCAGACATGGAGGCTTTCAAGATCCAGCTAAATAAAGCCCTGAGCAACCAAGATGGTCATGCTTGGAGCAGAAGGCTGGACCTGAGGTCCCTTCCAAAGTCACACATTGTGTGATTCTGAGATTCTCTACAGAAACTCTTGCTAAATCTACTCAAAATTTTAAACTTTTATCAGACCAACTGGCACACTGATAAAAGTTATTGCCTTTACCCACAAGCTATGTCTTGCCTATAATTTCCAAGATTAAGACCCACAGATATTCCATAAAGTGGCAGCAAGTTTCTACCCACATGGGTGTAATATGGGTCATTACTAGGACTGCACTCATTCAATCCATCCCACAGACCTTTGGCATTTGAAGTGAACAAACTTACAGTAGCTGTAACCACCAGCCTGAGCGTTCACTGAGAATGGTGGGGAATCCATGGCTGGCAAATAACCCAAAAAATACTCTGGCAAAATCAAAAACCAGCAAGTCCTGGTATTCTGTGCTCTAGTCTAGGTTCTGGCAATTTTTCTAAGCTTTTCCTTTTCTGCTTTCATCAGTTCTAGCTGTGTCTCTCTTTCACCTTGTTCAACTAAAGACTGACTGCTGGATGTTAATGTTTAACTGAAGCAACCTTTACAGAAGAAATGTCTGTATAGAGTAGCAAGAGAATTAGCCAAGGTCTGATAACCTCAATGGGGTTATCAGACCAAAACCTTCACTAACTCTGCAATTTTCCAAAACTGGAAATATTTGATAAATTGGTGAATGCACCCAAAGCCTAGATCATCCTGATCAAAGGGGATAACCCAGGCTTGGAAAAAACACTAGAACTGCTCTACTAGCTGCAACAGAAACCTACACTCACACCAACAAACTGTTTTAAGATCTACAAACTTTAATTATAACAGAGAAGTAAATTTAGATGGCACCTTAAACAGGGCAGACACTACAGGACAGCCACACCTTTGGCATATCACAGCTCAGATGAAGTTTTTCATGGGCAATTGCTAGTAGGCCCTCACTGAGGACAATTTGTTAAATCCAATGACTCTGATTACTACCTAGTTTACTAAGATTTAGCAATGTTGTCTTTTCATAAAGTGACTCTTCTAAGGTTTCTATTTTCTGTTCTTCTTCCCAATTATATTAGCAAGCTTTTCTGCCTTTTCTAGAATTGCTTCCTATACTATATTATCGGGCTTGCCTCTCTAATGTTGTCTACTGACACTGCCACATATCAGATCTTCTGTCAGTGCCAAGGACCCTTCTCACTCATGATCCCACACCACAAGGACACTGAAGAGCTTTCAGAATGAGGCTGTGCTTTTACAATGATCTATGCTAAATAGATCTAAGTAAATGTTATTGAAAAAATGTGTGGTCTTGCTCTCATGTCACTGTTTGGTTGTGGCAGCAGTTGAGCTAATGAGTGGGTGGTGAAATTAATTAAATAATTAGTATGGCAGAACATGTATAATTTTTACTGAGGTTATCTGAGTTTATTTTTTTGCCTGGATTTTGTGTTCAACCCACTGTATGGTAGTACATGCTCCACTGGTTGGCCCATTGTAAAGAGCAGGTATGGACCGAGGAAAAATAGCAAGCTGAATAAGCTTAAAATACATTTGACAGCACAGCTTTCAGAAAATTACTTTTATTCTGATTCAAGGCCAAGCTATGTTTGTGGTCTTGCAGTAATTTGGAGGGACAAAGGTATATCTTGAAGAACAACTGAACTCCAAAGATCCAGCTTGAGCTGAGGCAGTAAGATGGTTCTTTCACTTGGTTCTGATGATAAAATCCAATTTATAAATTACTATTGTTGGAAAATCTTCCAGGAATCTGAGCACATGAGTGCCAAAATAGATGGCTGGTCATGTTCCCTTGGGAGCAATATGGTCTGTCCTAGGCATTAGCATCTTGCAACTCTGTTAGCATGGTGGCTTAGTATGATAAATTATATTTTAAAGCAACTGACTACTGAGTGGAGCTCTGGGAATAGAAGAAATATCTTGCTTTTCCATAGAGCATATCTCTGATCCTCTGAGAACACAAACCAAGCATGAATCTACTTTACACTAAGAGACCATTTCATCAGAAGAATGTCACATTCAAGCATCAGTATGTCAGACTGTCATCTGGACATATAAATTAAAACTGAGTATTTGTATGAGGTTGTGTACTGTAAGATGTACTTATGGATTATTTTCAGAACACAAAGCCAGAAAGTACTCTTTCTGCCAAACCTCCATCTATTTGCGTATGTATGTATGCACTTCTGTACATTTGCGTGAATTTCTAAAGGAAAATGTGTTTAAAAAAAAAAAGCAAAGACGGCTGGGAGGTATATCTCTGAAGTACAATTCAGCCAGGAGATGGTCTTAACAACACAACTGCCACAGAGCACGTGATACGTGACCTTGGATATATATTAATGTATTTGTGTTTCTTAAACCACAGGGGCCTCCAAGCTCTACGCTAGGAACAAGATTGCAACTTACTTAAAAGAATGGCACCTACTGAATGTGATTGCCAGGAATATGTAGGGTACCTGAAATTCTTCAGCAAAGCAAAAGTCAAGTTGCCCCAGTCCCTGTTGTGATAATGCTATTTTATCACTGCCTCTGAGAAAAGCCAGTGAGCAAAATTGATCATTAGGGAAACCTGAAGAGAAATGTGCCCAGATTGTTGGTAGAAGATGACTTTGAATATCTGAACCTTGTCAGTTAGTCTTAGAATTAAAGATCCAGTTTATGAAATCTGTCTGATCTTGGTGTGAGGCACATTGGCATTATGATGACTAAGTAATGTTTACATACCATAAACTGAGCTCTAAAACAAGGTCTTGATAATGCAGCATCTCTGGGACCCTGTATTTTGTACTGCTGAGTGTATTTCTCAAAAAAACACCATTTGGCAAATTTTGCTTATAGGTATAGGGTGACTTTGCCCTTTCAGATTTCTTTCCTAGCCATTTCTTCTCAGAAGTGGAAAAGTTGACAACGTTGAGTTGGAAGAGCTCTCAGAAACTCCTAGTCGTTATACAAGAACCATGAAGAACACTGGGGCCCCTCTCATTGTCATGCAGTTAAACTGGAGGGGTAAGTAAGGTGCCGGATAAGCCTTTAAAACGGCAATCATCAACGTGGGCACCTCAGTTTTGTGCCTCCACCTCAGCACGGCACAGAGGCTCACTCGCCACAGCCGGGCCGGCCGCTCGCCCCTCGCTCCAGCCACGGCCGGGCGAGCTCCTGGCGCTGCTGGGAAACAGCGTGCTCAGGGAGGAGGGGAGGGGAGGGCAGGGAAGGGAAGGGAAGGGAAGGACAGGTCCTGCCCTGCCGGCCCAGGTGGTGCCGTAGAAAAAAGTTGTGGCAGCTTCAGAGCGGGCGGTGAGAGCGCGTGCGGGTACCCAGTAAAGCCGGCGGCTTCAGAGAAGAGCAGCCCCAGCTCAGTACTTCCTCCTGCCGATAACATCTCCGCCAGCGCTCGTCACGGGTGGCGGCCGCCGCCGTCGCTGCCCTACTTGAATCGGTTTCAGACTCCTCCCGAGGCGAGCCGGGAGCGGGAGAGCGGCGAGGCGAGAGGGAGGGAGGGGGCGATGCTCGGGGCCGCGCCGCTCCGCCCGGCCGCCTCCGCCCCGCGCAGCCCCGCTCCCTGCGCTGCCAACACAGCCAGCCGGGCGGCGGAGCTGCGGCTGGACCGGCATGGGGACCTTAGGCAAGAGGAGAGAAAACCAGTGAGTTTGCCGTGCTGCTTTGTGCCCCCGTCGCTCCCCTCCCCGCGGCGGAGGGCACCGGGGTCGGTGTCACGGCTGGGGCTCTCCCCGCGGCGGGGCTGGCGGGGGCTTCCGTGGGGCAGGGGCTGGTGCTGCGGGGGCCGGCCGGAGCCTCCCGAGCGGGACAGGGAGAGCAGAGGAGCGCGGGAGGGGGCGTGCGGGGGAGGATTTTGTTTCACCTTTGGGATGCCAGTGTGGCCGAGCGGGCGGGTCAGCGCGGGCGGAGGCTGCTCACGTTACGGGGTGGGCGAGCCCGGCTCGGTTACCTGCGGCACGGCCGGCCGGGCGGGGAAGCGGCGCCTGCTCCGGGTCGGCCAGCCGGAGCGCGGTCACTTGTTTGTGATGCTCTCCCCACCGCCGGGGCATGCGGTGGAGACGCAGGGCGGGCGTCCCCCGCTGCACCTCAGTCCCCCTTTCATCTGTTTGTCACGTCGGGTGGCTGCTGCGAGAGCTTCTGTTCTGAGGAACATCCAGAAGTGCCACCGGCTGAGCTTTGTCTGTCCAGCACGGCCAGTATAATGAAACTTTTTTCAGGTGTGGAAACTTCAGGTTTTCTCCTGGGTGTTGCCAAAGCCTGAAATATCTTCTACCTTAATTCTTACTTTATTACTGCTTTCTGGGATCCTCTCCCCTGGGTTGAAGAGGCACTGGGATAAAGCTAGAGCAGAGGGGCTTAAGCTCGTAAAAAGAAAACACTGAAAGCTGATCAGGCCCTTGTTATTTTTATATGAGAACAGGAAGTCAGATCACAAAGCTAAGAGGGAAATTGAGAAAAAGGGGGAAGGGAAGCGAGCATTTGCATGTCAGCTACTGTCAGCCTAACTACGGAGGAGCCCAGTCAGTGATGAGTACTGCCTCTGAAGGGTCAGACGTGTATTATCCTGAATTTCAAACTATAGAGGTCTGGGATCAGTGTTGGGTTGTAAATGACACCGTGGTCAGTGTTGTGGCTTCCCCAGCATTCAAGTGAGATGGAAAGGTAAGGATGAGGCTGGGCTTTCATGGGGATTGAGGTAGGGTCCAGTCTGTCTTCAAAAGGCATGCATTTTTTTAACTTCATGCAGGTGTGCCTAGTCAGGAATGTCTGTGAATTTACTTCTACTCTCTGTATGTAATACACTGCAGGAATTTCTATGCCTTTTCTTCCTGAGACTGTCAGCTGATTAATAGAGTCTTGCATAGTGTTCCAAGAAAAGTTCTGTTAAAGCTTAAGATAGCACCTTAAAGTCACTGGAGTCACTTGTTTAGGAAGGCTGTGGAGTGTCTGAAATAAACTCAAAGGATCCCTGAAATTTCAGGAGTCCCTGAAATAAACCCAGGTTTCATTGAAATGGCAATGCTTGTTCTTTTGTGAGCTATATGGTTATATTCTCAAGTCAGATTTTGCAGTGGTTCCTGGTATCTGCAGGCAAATATATTTCATCACTTTTCATTAATACAATATTATTTCAATTTACTGTTTCATACAGAAATATGAACTTGTGTGCAAGCAACGAATAGCCTTTAATATTATCCATAAACGTACATATTCTTGAAGTAGAAGGTATTATATGGGCAAAACACAAGACTAAAATTAGATACGTGCTTTACTTTTGTCTCATTTACAATTGTTATTAAATAAATTTTTTTTGTTTATGTATACTATTTTAAAACAACCTAGGAAATAATGGTGTTATGTAGATGCAAATTAATATATTTGTTTTGATTGTGAAATACTCCACTATTAGGTTGTGCTGATATTTTGTTTCCTTAACAGAGACTTTTCAGATTAAATTAATAAAACTAGTCAGGTGTTTTCCAATGTGTTTAATTTTTTTTTCCTCCTTTACTTTTGGTGGACACAAAAACATCTGGTGGTAGGTTATTACATACTTTCCAACAAACAGACAAGACTCCTGATAATCCTGACAGATCATTCAGTGAGCTGTATGACCATGTGCTCTGCAACAGGCATTTAGCAGAAAAAAAGTCACTTACTGAGCAGTCCCTTTGGTGTACATATCAAGTGGGAGGGTTATGTCTTCCAGCACCCTAACTAGAAGGAGTTAATTGTCCTTTAAATCTCTCCTCCTTTCCCATGCAGTGTAAAATTTGCCACTCTATCTTGTGTTTACTTCACTGTTGTGCTTTCTTCTAGGCAACCTGCCCAAGCATGCAGCACTGCCCCTGAATCAGCGCTGGAGCTGCAGCAGAGCAGCCACTGTCACAGCCTCTCAAATCACACTCAGGTCATGATGGTGCCGTTGGGGCACCTAGCCAAAGGAGCCACTTTGGAAGACCTTCTGGAAACCTGCATTCAGTCTTTTGGTGAGTGCCTGGAGGTGTTTAGAGTCATATTAATTTGTTTCTGTGTCTATGATTATGTTTCTGTTGGCTATGTTTAAATCCCCTAGTAGGGAATTAAGTGGATTTATTGGTGAAGTAGAATCTTGTTAACTGAGAATTGTCTGTGCTACAGGTGATTGTATTTTTCGTTGATGGATGGGTTTATGCAGATGTGTGTAATATATGCTGAGAGATTAGAGTAACTACTGCTTTTTCTTGAGGGAACCGGACAAATGCCAATCATCTACACTTCTAAGAGTTCTTCTGTTGTTCCTTAAAGTACCAATTTTGTAAACTTCAGCAAGCAATCATTATATTTTTGTATATTACAGTAACAATCTCATAATGCGTGTAAGCAACATGTTCATATTAAACATTTTTAAACAACAAGGGCTATTTTCAAGCTTGGTGAGATAACACTGGATTGCTTTTTGCGTTATCAGTATAGATTTAAAGTTGTTTCTTTATAAAAGAGAAAGATAACTGATGAGTTTAAAAATGCAGTTGGGATTTCTGTTTGGATTCTATTTGTCCTTTTACAACAGAGAAAGAATCCAAACAGAAATCCCAACTGCATTTTTAAACTCATCAGTTATCTATTTGTCCTTTTACAATAAGAATTGAAATATGGATAAGTGTAACCATTGCCTGAGCCATGTACCCCTAGTTTCCTTTTCCAACTTTTCCATTAGTAAATGTGTTTATATTCAATATTATTAAAATGTTGCTGAAGACACTTAAAGTGCTTCTACTGAATAATTTGCTTAGAAGTAGCACATCTGTTTGTTAATGCTGAGTCTTTCAGTGCTTTGAGCTACTCCCAAAGTATATGTGGGAAACTCTTCGTTTCAGAAGTAGTCCTTAGAAGATAAATGTACTTGAACACCCACTCAGCTCTAAAATAATTATCTATATAGTTAAATAGTAACACATCGTGCTGATCTACTGGTGCAGTGCATAAATACTGTGTAAACAATGACTAATCTTTCACATTTGTTTAAAATGAGGGTTTCTTTAAAGCCTTCTAATCAGCGTGAACAGAGAAATGCATGTCTGAGAAAAGCTGGTGAAACATGCAATATTCAGTAAGGTCTTGTTTCTTTTTTGCTTCTTTTCATCCCCAGTTCATTATTGTGAAGACACTGAACTTCTATAAAGCCCTAATTCCTCAATGAATGTTGACTGATATTTTTATAGGTTTCAGTTCAATAGGAGGGGGATAAGATATCTAAAACATAAGACCTTCAGGTGGCTGTAATATTGTGACTACTTGACCAGTATTAATGTCTCTACATTTTTATGAGAAAGCAGTAGTAACATTATAAAAATCTAGTATGGTTATTAAAATGGTGTAGTGCAGGTGAAACCCTGAGTAGGAGATAATTTTTGGCTAATACTGTGTATGGCAATATAGATGTGCTTAGGTGTTCCCAGATTCCTGAGCATCAGTGTATTAAAAGGACTGAGGTAACAAAGAAAAGCAGGTGTACCTGTGCAGTTCAGCTTCACATGCATGTCAGTCTTTCTTAAGGGTTTCACACTTCAGCTAGAAAATTTACTGTAATCCACTAGATAGGGTTTTCTTGACCTTTGACAAGCTGTGCATAAGTCAAGCAAGGTGAATTGTAGTGCATCAGCAAACATCATTATAACTCACTAAGGACTGCTAAAATCATGTTGTGTGCTGCAGAGGTTTAGACCCTTAATTGGACAATTCAGGCAGTGTCTGTATTTATAAATCTTCTATGAAATGATGCATGTTCTTATGCTATGTTGGAACTTCCCATTAAGGTATTAAAAAAAAAATACAACTGTTACAACACTAGATAACCTCCATAATGAAGTTCATTAAAGAAGGCTCTTGTAGCTATCCCCAAAACCAGTGCAAAATTCATTCACATGATTGTGCCAATAAAGGAAGAGATAAAAAGTCTTTAATTGTGATTTTGAAGAGGGTTGGGGGCAGGGAGCAAAATGGTAGGAAAAAGCATAGATTCAGAATGATTACAAGGAATCTGAATGATTGAGCAAATTTCTTTCCATGCATAGTACTGAAATTTTCTAACTTCTATGCTGATGGTTCTGTTTAGGCTGAGATTATATCTTCAGTCTTGGATATGCTGACCTATAATATTTTGTATATTATTCTATAAAGTCATTATTATGATTTGAGCAAGTTTTATATAAATGTTTAAAGTACAGAACTCCCCCAAGACATTGTGTATTTGAAGTTTACTTTCTGAAAAAAGCCTTTGGTTTATTTGCTGTCTAGCCTTAAGGAGAACAAAAGGCAGTAGATAGAGATGATGGTGTGTCACGTTTCAGAATATATACTGCATCTTGTTAGCATTATACTGCACTTGCTGATGTTATGTGTACAAATACAATTCCTCTGTAACGGATGCAGCTGAGTTTATGTTGCTGCACTCAATTACGCAAGTTTAGAGAAAGCAAACAGTGTGCAAGAGAGACTCCTGTCAACAATGGTGTGTAAGGAGAAGCTGGCAGCCTTTTGCTGTATACGCAGAGAGTACCACAAGGAGGTCTAACCAAGAAGGTATTAAGAATCAATACACACAACTGTGGAGAACACAGGCTGTAAATTCATATTGGTTCTTGTTGTATTGATTGTTGTAATTTATCTTACAACATGGATTATGAGAAGAAAGGAGAAAGGGAATATGCTAAATTGAAATTAAAAGTGAGATATCTAAACTGTGCTGCAGTATTATAAATGGATTCCAAGATGAAAGACTTTGTCAGGAGAGCCAAGTTAATCCAAAAGCTTAGTCAGTACTTAAAATCCTGCTTTGGGGTGCTTTGTGTGTGTGCTCTTTCACCTCTCTCAAACTTGGTCTTTTTTAGCTTGGACTGATGAATGACAGGCATGTGCCTTAGCAACAGAAACAATTAGAGTCTTAAGAGGTAGTGTGAAGTCATGTAGGTGGTCACTACATCTGAAAGAGTAGCATCATACCAGTGTTTATTCAACAGCATGATGAGGAGATGCTAAAAGTAAAGGTTTCTTGAAGTCCCATGGAAGTTTGAATCAGGATGATGAAGATGAATCATCCTGTGAATGAGTTGCCAAAAGTAAGGGCAACAAAAAAGCAAGGATGTAAATGAAGGCAAGAGTTTGGAGCGAAAATAGCACGGTGAGAGATTGAAGGTAGGAAGTGTCTTAGAAAGGAATATTGATCCTTTCTTAGGAGAAGATCTGTAGAGTCTTGAAACCACTCTCACCAGTTTTAAGAGAAGAGATTTGGTTATACAGGACAGTGCTTCAAAATGTGTCTCAGAAAACCTCCCAGCATTATAAGTAGCTACAGGATGGTGTTACTGCTACGATCTGGATTGACAAGAAGAATTGTAGAGCACAAATAACTCCATCACATGTGATTGCCTTAGAAAAGAAAGGGAGGAAAAGAGAAAGAAAGAAGGGAGGAGAGTGCAATAGAGAGGAAGAGCAAGAGGTATGGTAAAATGATTAAAAACTAGAAAAGCCAGTAGCTGCAGAAAGGGTAGATTCAGTGCAACCTCTACATAAGAGATATTAATCCTGGACAAAAAGCTCATAAAGAGGTACTTAAAAGTTGATTTTCCATTGGCAACAGAATGGCTGAAGTTGTAAGTTCAGGGAAGCAAAGAAGTAGTTAATGGACCTTGGCCCAGAATATGACAGCTTCAGGAGGGAGATAATTTATTCTGGAGGATATCTTCATTAATGACTGTGATTCTGGAGTGGAATTTCACATAGGACAGTGACTTTAACCCCTGCGTCCATTTTTTTTTCCATTATGTAGTATGTAAAATGCCTGGGAAAGTGTACTTTTGACTGGCAGACAGTTCTCTGAAAGGCCATGTGGCTTTGTCTGCTATTTTGTTGCTAGTTGTAAAGGCACTTAGTCGATCAGCTTTGTTGTTGAAACCAGCAGTGTAGGGTCCAGTTTGCTGGCAGGTCACTAGAACACAGGAAGCATATGCTTAGTAGCACGGCCATACTTTTGTGTCTAGTTCTTATAGTAATCTTTGTGACACTACATAAATTAATAACATATATTTAGTTCAGAAAGTGTTACAGATCAGAAAGGAAAAATGTATTAGCAGTGCTCCCGTCACTGGATACCTAATTTGTTAACTTTATATCTGCTAAATGTTCATGACATTTATCACCCTAGGGTATCCTCATGCTACTTGAAGTTCTGAATATGTGTTGTGAAGTCAATTTCTAATCTAGAAATTCTTTTTTTTTGTAGCTTCACAATATGTTAGTGCATGATAAGAAGTCCCTGTTTCTTTTCTTTGACTACATCTATTTTTATCTTATAAATCCACTTTTTAAAATCTAGAGTAAAGTTTAAGGGTGCTTATTTTTTAAAACAAACATACCTTTCAAAGATTCAGTGAGCTATTTTAACATGCATTCAAGCTTATAAACCATGTGGGGTCAGAGGGCCTTTTCCTTGCCCACACAAAACGTGTGTTTAAATTGGTTTTACAAGTGTTTAAAGATTCTGTTGCAATTAGGACAACGTGTATTCAGCATACAGCCAATTTGACATCTCCTTGTTTTGTCTGTAGTAAAGTCCTGAAATGTTACCTAGAATTACCTAGCAAACAATTCCAAGAGTGCACTAGAAAGCCATCATTTATTCAAACACATCTTGCTAAAAAAATCTGAGGATCATTTAAAAGCTGAGAATTCTGTAAGAGTTCAAGATGTTATTTTTATGAAGGAATTTTTGTCCTTAACCTCTGAGTACAAGATCTTACACTTTGCCTCTTATATTTGAGTGCTGGAAGTATGTTTACTGTAGCACATGGATTACCTGTGCTTATCCTACAATTCAGACACTTCAGTTTAAAAGAAATCAAAAAGTATCATCTTCAAATGCATGTCACAGTACAGTGTCCCTGTGTTTGGTTTCTTTAAAGAGATGTAAGTAAAGGGCTTTAGGAAAGCAACAAAAACATTTCTGAGA